TATTACTTAAAGAAAGGAGGAATCGGAGTCTTGCTGAATTAGACATGGGTTGTGAGAAAAATTAAGAAGTCAGTATGAATTCAGTTCTTGGCGTAAACTGAGACAGGGCAAAAGGCGTAGGGTAGTACTGGGGGAGCAGACTTGTTTGAGACGTATTAAATTTGAAATGAGTAGTAATGAGCAGGTGAAGTAGCCCCATAGACTGAGAGCAGTTCTTCAGTGAAATCTGAAACAAGTAGTAATGAAGATGTTGAAAAGAATACTTCATGAATCTGAACTGAAGAGAACTGCAGTGGGGACCTGTCAGCACAGACGCGCTTTGACAGGATTAGGTGAGAATACTAAGGGATCATGTGCATAAAGTGGACCAAGAGCACAACTCTGGAGCACTACAGTTAGGGAAGAGAAAAACCCAGTAAGGTAAGAAGAATCAAGTCCCCAGAGGCATGGGTTGAGGGGTCATACTGCATCAAACGCTGCTGATGTGCAAAGATGGAAGGTAGGAAGGGACTGCTGGGCTTAGCACTGCAGAAATGCAGAGATCACTGATGACTTTCACAAGAGTAAGACTGGCAGTGGGTACAAGCAAGACTCGATTGAAGTGTTTCAGAGAATGTGCAAGAAAGAACTGGAGACAGCTAGTACAGCCATACCTTTCAAGGGCCATTGCTATAAGGAGCACAGGTATGGAGTGGAAGCTGACACGGCCAGGGAGGAAAACAGGTGGTTGTTTTTAAAGAAGTAATAAGCCGGTTTGTATGATGCTAGGAACAGTCCAGGAGGAGGCGCTCTTTCTCTTGTTTTCATAGTGTTACTCACGGGCCCCATCGGGTGATTTTTAGATACCCCAGTGGAATCTGGCCCCACTGCTCAACAGGTGAGTGCACTGCCCTTGGCCCTCCTCTTGTAAAACTGTGTACTAGTGAAAAATCTCTTACATCTACAGCTAGAAAGCACACTAATAGGCACTGCAGTACAGCAGGGCATTTAATGAGCATTTACTAAGTATGACTCTGTTGGGTTTCAACAGGATCTGGCCTCCCTGCTTGGTTCTCTCAAATGTTGAATGGTTGGCAGGTGTCAGGTTTTCTGACTGGGATGTGAGACAAATCTATCTACCTTCCTGTCTTTTTGCATGAGTATCCTACCAATTTTTTTCTCCTACAATTGATTTTATGTTCAGAAATTCCTCCTATATTTCATTACTAGGTTACACACTGGGTATAGTTTTTGGTGAAAGAAAACCTTTTTTTAACTTTTTTCCTCCATGTACCTTACTGGGAAACTAGAATAGGGTAAATTAGGGTGATTATGCAGATGTCATTGCTAAATGTTATACTTTGAAGACAACATATAACACACTGAATAAGTCAAAGTGCTTAATTTCTGTTTTCTATGAAATAGTTTGTTTACTGTGGAGAGGCTACAAATACATATCTGATGTGAACACAAAGGACTGAACTTTGCAACACTGGAAAAAAATGGTTATGAGGAACTGAGATGCTGAAAAATGGGGCACACAACATTTCCCGCCATACATCTTAAAATATCAAAGGCACTTATCAACAAAGGTTAAATTAAGGAGTGTGAAATGTAAAATAATGAATATACCCAAGACATACAACTAAGTGCTTAAATTTTCCAGTAGTTTGATTTCTGGAATTTTACTAAAATTTCTGATTTATGCAATTGACTTTGTAGCCTTAAAACAATTAGCACACGATTAAATTTCATTACCTCTTTAACGGAAAAGAACCTGATGTTTCTATACTCCATTACTGTGAGAACACTTCCAGGCAGACTAAATGCCCCACTGTTGCGTCCACTGCATCGTCTCTCTGGTTAACACCGTGGAAGTCAACTATCACTTACACAACAGCACTTCCAAGAGCACACTTTCATCTGTCATCTGCCTCATACACAGCCCTGTGCTGGGGAGACAAAAACATGGTGTGGTCCTGACTTTCACAAGCTTACATTTATGCTTTATTACTGCATGGTCACACTTTTTTTTTTGGTACCAGGGATCGAACTCGGGTCCTTGCACTTGCGCAGCAGGTGGTGAAACCACTGAGCTAAATCCCCAGCCCCCTACACTTTCAATTCCTACTCACTCATTCTAAGCAGCTTCTTAGGATAATAGCCAGAATTAAAGTGCGTTACCATCCCTTATTTACTCGATTTCCAGGGGGAAAATCAGTAAGCCTAGCACTAAACTTTCAAAGAAGGCCCAGCTAAGTGCAGTAGTACAGGGCTTTTATCTCAGCTATGTGGGAGGCTGAGGCAGGGTTTCACTTTAGCCAAGAAGTTCAAGACCAGTTTGGACACCAAAAATGTGCGTGTACACATGCATGCGCACACACACACACACACACACACACACACAAACACCCAAGCCCTACATCAGTCTAAAGGTGGTGCCATTTGTCTACAGCATGGAAAAAGCAACAATGGAAAGGCCAAGACACACAGCACCTTTGAGCTCCTCAGGAGCCATGGTCTCTACACTGGTTTGTGGCAATTTCCTGCACATTGCATTCTCAAGCATATTTAGATTGATTCATAATCTTACTCCCCGCTCACAGAAAAATAAAACGGACTCCAATCACATTTCCAGGTGAAAACACAAAATGAGATTACTAGAACAGTCCTCGCCCTAGTAATATTAGGACTCAACATAATTAAGGACATCTAATGGCATTTATTCTCAATGTGGATAAGCAATTTCTTGCATAATTTCTAATCATAGTGTATATACAGATGTAGATACAGTGTCACTGTGGGCCACAATGCTGACAGGACATTAAACATGTTTAAGAGTGTGTTGGCAATGAGAGATTTCAATTTCTTTTTATTCTTTCCCCTTCAGTTTTATATCAATATTTGCAGGGTACTTTCACATGCTACACAGAACTGAAAGATGCCAATTTTTGCTATAAAAAGGCCAACATTATAATTTGCTAATGCAGAGTACAGAAATGCACAGGATGACTATAATAGTAGGCAATCTATCCATGAGCTAACACAAGGTATTTCTGTGTCTGATGTATATTATCCTCTCTCCAGTTTAATGTTCCATCTTCAATACTGAACTTTCTTTTAATCAAAATCTCTGAGTTTATAAAATTGTAGGGCAATTTCCAGTGAATTTTATCAAGACAGAGAAGCCAAAGACCACAGATACTACTGAGTTATCATCAAAAGGAACCAGATACTCAGCAGTATAATCAGAGAATTGCGGTAAGCCAACTGGCTTCTGTAATTTAATATAAATTACAAGACTATGTTTCATGCATAAAGATAGTGACCTGGAGCCGGGGATTTAGCTCAGTGGCACCACACCTGCCTTGTAAGCCCAAGGTCCTGAGTTCAATCCCTGATACTGCAAAAAAAATTTTAAAAAGATAGTGGCCTGATTTCACTGGAATCAACTAATATCTGCAAAGCTACTTGAATTTTTCTGTTGATCTTCATTGTTGTGAAATAATGATAGTTTTGATGGTGGCAAACTTCATTTTTTCATATGCAGGATGATCTAAGCTGAGTTAGAAAAAGAATGATTAAGGGAAGAAATTAAGGTAGGCTGGCTCAGTGTGAACAACTGTTTCCCTTCTGTTTTGATCATAAGATTCATGCATTCAATATCACAATAATGTCATAAATAGGACAGCCATTTTAAGAGTTACAGGATTAAGACCGAGAAAGACAAAATGATAAAATGAACTAAGCCACCACTGTTACAAAGTTCTAACAGTCTTACATTCACCACTGGTATTCTCAGCAGAAACATATTTAAATACAAACACAATTACATATATACAGTATTATCATATAAATATTTCCTTTATTTTCATGGTTACAAATTTTAAAATAATTTCATAAGTTTTAATAGTTGTTTCTTCAAAAGTGGCACACTTTATTAAAAGAAACACTGGAAATGTGGAGTCTTTTAAAGAAATAATCTTCATTTTCACTAATAAGTATAGTAGGGGAGCCAGATTTCTATACCAATTAATAGAAAATGAATCATTACAGGGCTGGGGATTTAGCTCAGTGGTTTCGCTGCCTGCTGCGCAAGCACAAGGACCCGAGTTCGATCCCCAGTACCAAAAAAAAAAAAAAAGAAAAGAAAATGAATCATTACAGGTCTAGTTCCAATACAAATAAAGGATACACATATGTATGTTAGGAGTCATTCTGCCCATTCCATTAGAACAGTTCCATTCCTGCACTATTACGTACTGAAACTCGGTATCCTCTTTGGTCAAAGATTTATTAACAGTTCATATGTTGTTCACTTACCTGACACTAGTGGTGAGAGAAAACAAAACTGTAATATGTAAGACCTTTATCTCTTTTCAAATCCTCTAAGTAAACTATAAAATTTAGCATTTATAACTTTATAACTTGCAAGAGTCTGAATGTCTCTCAATCTGCTTTCTTCCTTCAAATTTCTAAACAGTGTTGTTTCTTAGGAGGCTGCCAAGTTTTAAAACTAACACATTTTATCATTATAAAAGCAGGTAAGGATTAATGGTGACCACTCAGCCTCTGGCTACTGGCTGACTGATTGGTCTACATTCAGGTTATCAATGCTCCTGACTTTGTACATTATCATGGTTGGTTTGGAGACTTGATTGTGTAACATGCATCTCCCCAAGGATGATGAAGACAGAAAACTGAAAACAGATGATTTTGCTAGCTTTACTGCTTCTGGTAAAAGAGTCAAAATTAAAGAGAAAAACTGCTGATAAAAATAAAGGAAAAAGTTACAAGTGGATTTCACTTACATTAGGACTGGTCCCTCCTTATTGGAGTTTCACTGATAACAGACTCGACCATTACTGACAGCTCTGTTTTGGTTATTTTTAAATACTCCAATGACATTCTCCAGCAGTTTTATTATCTTCAGTTTTATGGTACCATACTATGTTTCTCACACTGTTTAACATTCCCATTTCTATAGTTCAAATACCAGAAAATTAGTCCACTTTCCCTTGTACAGTCAAAAATAGGTTTATTGGAATGTTTTTAGTTATAATCGAAGGCAGAAACATTTAGTTTTTGTTACACCCATAAACATGTGGAAACTACTTACAGAGCAAACATATTATAAAAAGAATGACATCCTTGCAAACACTGGTGAAATGGTTATGGATCTCCTTTAACATAATGAATGATTTGGTTCTTCACATAGGCTTTCGGACCCCGAGCCTGACCCCCATCTTGATGCAATGATGCAAGACCTTATGCCACTAAAATATTAGTATGAAATACTGTCATTCAGTGTTTGACTACATACACAAATAATGAAGTGGCAAGTATCTAGTTTCAAATTAGATCCTTGGAATACAGCAAAATAGTTATCTTTGCTTTATACAATTAGTACATTTTGTTGGAAGGGAAGAAGATAATTGGACATTCTCAATGCTCCAATTTGAAGTGATACTTGCTTCTTAGTTTCTTGAAAAAGAAGTTTTGAAAGTTATATACATAGGTTTCATTTAAATTACACAGCAATCTTTTATTATTATTTTCCCAGATCTTGTTTAATGAGGAGCTCTGTCATCAGATCAAGTATGATATTTCACAACTATAAGAACTGTAAGAGAAAGAAAATAGAAAAAATATATCAAAATTAAAAAAGAATGTCAAAATATATTCATATGCTGTTAGAAGCAATATTCTTTTTTTTGTTTTTTTTGGCAGTACTAGAGATTGAACTCAGGACCTTGTGCTTGTGAGGCAGATGCGGTGCCACTGAGCTAAATCCCTGGCCCAGAAGCAATATTCTTAACTGTAACTGTGTTCACTGTTAGAATGGGGTTATTGCTGGGCATGGTGGTGCATGTCTATAATCCCAGAATTCAGGAGGCTGAGGCAGGAAGACTGCTGTGAGTTTGAGGACAGCCTGGGCTAGTGAGTTCAAGGCCAGCCTAAACTACATAGCTGCACATAGCTTTGTCAAAAGTCCACAAAAAACCCCCCAAAAACAATGAAAGGGGTTATGAAGGCTGAGCTTTTATCTGATAATAGATAATGAATAAGGAAATAGAAAAATATCATAAAACAATGCAAAGGTCTAACACTGGCATCTTGATCAAATAAGTCATGGAATAATGAATGGCACATGGCTGCTAAAATATAAAAATAATGACATGGGAGATATTCACAATGATTAGAAAAGATTATCTTATTTTTTAAAAAAATGTTTATTAATCAATAGGAAAAGACTAGAATAATATCCAATAGTTATAATAACAGCACCTATTTCTGTGTGTTAAGATTACAGTTGAATTTTATTTTCTTCTTTATGCTATTCCACATTTTCCATGTTGTCCACCATACATGGTTGACTCCTGTTATTTGAGATAGTTATGTTCTATAGTTAACCACAAACACTACATGCTGAACCACTGCTCCTAGGGAAAATAAAGGGTTACGTTTTTGTGAGCCTCTGGTTACATTTTCGTCAACTGAGCAACATATAATCTTGTTTTATATGTGTTTTGGTGTAATGTATATCTTATTTAATATGCATTACGGATTCAATAATATTGAACTCAAGGCCAAAAACACTATAATCCATGCCTGAACAAAGTTTACCTAACACATATTTTTTTATTCAGGGACACTATAGCCTTCTCCCATTTGATAATACTTCAGGACTAAGGTTGGGGGCCATTTTAAACCATGCAATCACAACGGACAGCACAAAAATGTAGAAAATGTGGCACTACATAGACTACAAAAAAAACCAAGCCCATATTTTTTTTCAACCCCATACTTTTTCATGTAATTAGACCAGAAACAGGAGAGCAGACTGCATTATTTGAACCTCAGCTGAAAACCTGCTGGCCAGGAGACTGAAAATTCTTGCTGCTCTGAACACGTCTGGAAATGACTAGAAAAGCAACCTGAGTACTGATTTGGGGCTTAAAAATAAGTTTCAGCTAGTAAGCATAAACACAGAGTCTGTATAAACACAGAGTCCACAAATAATGAGACTTGACTGTACTTCTTTGTAACAAAACTTTTTGTTTCAACAGAACAGACTCATGATGTTTTCAAATGATTATTTTGAGACACTTTCCAGATGTTTATAAAATCTCTGTAAACACAGGTAAAGAAGCCTTATGGAAAGGTAGCTATTAACAATGATTTGGCCCTAAAAGAATATTATAGAAAAAGAAGAGGAAAGAATTATACTTTAAAATCAAGGTCAAACTCAAAACAAAACAAAACAAAAACCAAACAGAAAACATCACCTGGAGAATTTAACTGCATTTGTCCTTCCCCCACAGTTATTATTACACAAATTACTATACCTGAAAGTGAGCAGTAAAAAAAAGAATATCTTCCTAAGTGTAATGAAAATCAGATTTGGCCTTGAACAAATCAGCCCTGTATTGGAGGGTGTAGCTGATGTGCAGGAGACAGGTTCCTCTTGAGAGGCTAACAAAAGAAATAGACTTAGTCGCCCCAGAAATGTACATAAGCATATTTATGTAAAATTTCATTTTCAGAGATCCAAAAATTCTAGGTTAAGGCTCCTGACTCAGGTCAGAGGTCATTACTGAATCATGCCATTAGACATACTAGGTCAACTGAAAATAAATCAAAAAGGAATTAAAGTCAACACCAAAACAAAAAATAACCTCCAGAAATAATAATCCAGTAAGTACTTACTTATGATCACTAGCAAGAGGAAAACAGCAACCAAAGCCATGATAGCTTTTATCTACAACAAAGAAAAAGGCATATGAAGGATATTGTTTGACTTGTTAATAAAGCCAGGTCTATTTGCCCTATACTGTTTGCCTCATGTTAACTCATCACTAACAGCAGCACATTCATTGAAAAGTCTGCAATGTGTTTCTCATATGAAGTTTCTGGGTGTTTTGCACCTTTAGTAAGTAGAGGTTCCCCTGAAATTGAGTCTTTGCTTTGCTGGTTTATTGTCCAAGGCTGTACTGCAAAAAGGTAGGATGAGGCCTTTACCGAGCCAAGCCTTTTTGTCTGCTATTCCACATGCCTATTTCTAGGTGAGGCCAGGAAAAGTACAGAATACGAAACTTCACCAATTCTGTTCAAGTGTCAGGGTGTGGCAATTAACAGAGGCAGCCAATCCAAATGGTTTAATACACAGGGGTCTTCCCTTATCTGAGGGTGACAGGTTCCTTGAGAAGGTGTCCTCAGTGGATGCCTGAAGCCCTAGACAATGCCAAATCCTACATATACCGTGTTTTTCCTATGCATGTGTACTGATGATAAAATTTAATTTATAAGTTAGGCACAGTAATAGATTAACAACTATAACAATAAACTGTAATAAAAGGTGAGTGCATTTAGTCTCTCTCTTGAAAAAGTCAAGACAGATATTACTATTTTGGGCCATGGGTGGTCATGGGTGACTGGAACTGTGGAAAGCAAAACTATGGGGGGTGGGCACAGGGGCTGCTGCATGTAGGGCAGCATATTTTAGAGCACGTATTCTCAGAGCACATGAGAATAACTTAGTTTTTCTCTCCCTTTTCTCCATAGTGTTTAAATCTCCATTCTAATGAATACATTTTAGATTCTTCACAAATAACCTAATTTAATAAATACCTTGCCTAAGACTATTCTATGTGTCAGTCTCATAGATAAGATGAGAAACCTTATGATCAATTTCAGTCAGTTGCTGGACATTTTAAGTTCATGTTATCTTCCTGTGTAAAACTGTTACATCAACCACTTAATCCTAAAATGTATAAATTATAAATTTATTTCATTTCTTTAATTAAAATCCATCTTTTCGTAATTTTTGGATAATTGATTAAAAATGGTTCACTCAGAAAAAAAAGGTACCAGTTATAAATAGATGAAACATTCTAATGAGTACCACAAATAGACAGAGGTAGTTAATGAAATATTTCTAAAAATAGAATGACTGGTGACACTTTCGTGGGATTACATTCATGACAGTAAAAGAGTGATCCAGAGAATACATGAAAACTTTGCAATATGGACATCAGCACCTATTAAAATTATTAGGATAACCAAAAAAATGTAGAAAAACTCAAAATGTAGAGAAATAGATATATTTTCAGTAGGAATCTGGGCCCATATTATGCTATAAACTACCTTAATTTATTTTGATTATTCACTTTTTTTTTCTTTTTTTTTTTTTTGGTACCAGGGCTCAAACTTGGGTCCTTGTGCTTGCAAGGTAGGAGGCGTAACCACTGAGCTAAATCCCCAGCCCCAACTACCTTAATTTAATATGAAAACATTTCTTAAAACATCTGGAATTTTATAGTAGTTTTTCCACTCTGCCCAAAACATTCATTAATTTGCCCTTAATTAATATTAAAATTAATAATAATTAATTTGCCCTTAAAACATACATTAATTTCCATTTAAATGGAAATATCTATCAACTTTAAAACATCTCAATGAGTAATTTTCTTCTTTGGGTTTCTTACACCGGGCAGGAAATGTTTATAACCCCAAATGGCAGTGTTTTACTCATGCGTGTGCAAAACACTCTTCTTTCAAATGACTCGGACAAACTTTTTCTTTTCTTTTCTTTTCTTTTTGGTACCGGGGATTGCTTGCGGTGGAACCACTGAGCTAAATCCCCGGCTCTCCGACAAACTTTTTCTACCATTAAACATGAAAAAGCCTCCCAGCCTCCCAGATACATAAGGGGTGTCAGCAATTCTCCTTCCCTAGTCCCTGGAAAAACTTACTCACTTACTTGTTTTTAAAGCCAGGTTTACTGAGATATTCTTTGCATAGAATAAAATTCATCCTTTTAGAGGCACATTTTGATGGGTTTTGACAAACACACACATTTGTTCACCACCATCACAGCCAGATACAGTGGCTATTTCTACCACTGACCCCCAAAGTTCCCCCATGTTCTGCTCTAATCTATTTCCACCCCCAACTCCCCTTTTTAGCCACTGGAGACTCCTGATCTGTGCTCTGTTCTTATATCTTTTCTCATAAAACTCTTCCAAATCACCACTATAAAGTTAACCTAGAAAGTGGGAGCAGCAGATAAACAGCAGCACAGAGAGTGTGGGGTACAGTGAGACAGAAGAGAGACACACACCAGAAAATAAGCAATGGAAAACCCAGCTACTCTCAATGGGCTTTGTTAAGTTACAGAATAATGCTCATTACATGGCTGATGCTGTTAGTGATTACTAAAGGCCATATAGAGACTGTCTGAAAACATAATTCAATTTTTAAACTCTTAAAAGAAAAGCTATTCCTTTGATTTTATTTGGGGGGATACCGGGGATCGAACTCAGGAGCTTATGCTTGTGAAGCAAGTGGTGGAAACACTGAGCGAAATCCCCCACCCTTTCCTTTCATTTGAACCATCATAAATTACAAAACAAAAATCTTTAGATATGATTAAAAAATCTAAGCAAAATGGGTATTCTGACTATCCTTTTGTGGCTCTCTGAATGGGGCATGTGTGTTGATGGGAGAGGAGGTGAGTGGCTTGTGAACTTTTTATTTTTCCATACTTGAGAATAGAAAATTGTGCTAGAAATAAAAAAATTTAAAGAAAACAGAAAATTTATTCTTTACAGACTAAAGAATTTATGATAGAAAATTTAAACTCTAGACAGGGGGAACAATGAACCATGATTCTTTCTTTCCTCAATTCTATTTTTGGCAGTAAGAGCATTTAGCAAGTAGATAAAACTAAGTAAATCCAAAGCAACTCTTGGAAGAAATCCTTAGCATATGGCAAAGTCAGGTTTAGAAAATTATTGCTGAACTTGAAAATGAGAGACTAAAACCAATGAGCTCATGTCTATATTTTTATCAAAGATAAAAGTTTTACCTAGAATCAAGAAAAAAAATTTGTTCACATGACATAAACGTTTCCTGTTTAATGATTAGTAGTCACATTTGATATATGTATAATTTTTTCTTTTTGGAAGTTCTGAGGATTGAACCCAGGGCCTTTGCAATGAGCTACATCCCTAGCCACTTTTTACATTTTATTTTGAGTCAGGGTCTCACTAAGTCTCTAAATTGCCTGAGCTGGGCTCAAACTTACAATCCTCCTGCTTCAGTCTCCCAGAGTGTTGAGATTACAGGTATGTGCCACCATGCCTGGCTAGCTGCACTTTATTTAAGAAGTAAATTCATTTCATAAAATGTTCTGCAGAAATATATTAGTGTCAGGGCTGGGATTTAGCTCAGTGGTTCCGGCGCCTGCCTTGCAAGCTCAAGGTCCCGAGTTCGATCCCTGGTACAAAGAAAGGAAGGAAGGATGGAAGGAAGGAAGGAAAGAAAGAAGGAAGGAAGGAAAGAAGGAAAGAAAGAAATATATTAGTGTGCAGTGATTTATTCTTTTCCTTGTTAACAATTTCTTTTTCTTATTGCTCTATTATAATGAGGGATAATGGGGGTTTTTTCTCCATGATCCCACTTGGTATAAGAGAATCTGACCTATAAAATGCTTTATTTTTCCCTCTCAACATAAAAACATATTTCCTCTAGCTATTTCATCTTAAGAATACATCCAGTGGGCTGGGGATTTAGCTCAGTGGCACTGCACTTGCCTCATAAGTGCAAGGTCCTGAGTTCGATCTCTGATACTGCAAAAAAAAGTCTATAATGAGACAGTATGCTCCAAAAGTGCTAAAATAGATTATAAACATGTACATTTATTATAATAAGTCCAGAGGTAGCTAAGTTATTAATAAAATGTGGGTTACTTTCATAAAGAAATCTATGCAAACATGCTTTTAGGCACTGCTTGATTCCTCTAAGTTACTCCTGCCTCAAAAGTAATTAATTAATTCAACAAATACCCACTGAGTTTTTTTACCATGTTCCAAGTTCAGAAGACATAATAAGTAAGACAGTTATAGTCCCTGGCCTCATGAAACTTATATTCTACAGGCCCAAGTTGAATGCAACTTGAGATGCTAACTGATCTGCCCAATATCTTTTGATATACTTACTTTGCATCCACGCCACCACATTTGCCTTCGAAGGTGTTTGGATCTGTTGCTAAAAGCAGTTGCATTATCCGATAAGCTTTCTATATCACATAGAGGATGGAGAGAAGGATTAAACGACATAACAGGATTCTTTTATCTAGTCATACAAAGACAAGAAAATATTAATTTCTACTTCTGCAAATTTGATCCCTTTTAAGCAAGAACACAACATCCTCCTCCTCCTCCACCCACAAATTCTGCCATTCTACATTGTAAAAAAGAAAAACCAAAACAAAAAGCAAAACACAGCTGCAGGTCAGCTTGCTCAATCTACTTTTACTATAAGATTAAGAGAAGACCTCCCATGGCCTTAATGCTTAAATGAATTCTGGCAAGAAAACAGTCTTAAAAATACAAACACTAAACAGGAAACAGGGAGATAGACCTTTTGCAAATGGGAAGGGGACCAAGAGGTAGAGGAAGAAGAGGGGAAGGGGACCTAAAAAGAATTAAGATGTGTTATGTACATGTACCAACTCCCAATGATGCATGCAATCATTATATACTGTAAACGTGTACCAATAAAAACTTTAAAAAGACAAAAAATACAAACAGTAGGGACTGGGAGTATAGCTCAGCGGAAGAGTACATGTTTTGCATGTGTAAGGCCCTGGGTTCAATCCCCAACACCAGAAAAAACAAACAAACAAACAAACAAACAAACTTGGCATATCTCTAGAAAAAAATTACACTGGAGAAGATTAGATTTTTAGAAACCCCAAACAACTGATTTTTGAAGAAAAATAGTATGAATTTTAAAAGCTTCTAAGTAAGTTTTTTGGTCAAGCAAGTCTGTCAAGAATTAACCAGGTATTCAATCATTCACAAACAATACAAGTGAATAATATGTGGCAGGAAGTTTATGGGCACAAAGACTAATATCCGTGAGTAAAGAAAAGTTACTGAATTACCAGGGAAGGCGTATATCACCAGTCAGCCAGCCACGCATGATTCACACCACATGAGACTGCCTAATCTGTGCCAAGAACTGTCACGGGTAGTGGACTAACATCGGTCACTAAAGAAATGTTACCAAATTACTACAGAATGCATACATTAAAAAGATCAGCTAAGTTTGAAACAAGTTTTGAAAAAAAAAATGGTTAGACCTTTATGCCTTAAGATGGTCAGAAACACAAAGCATATCAATCCAAGAGGGCAAAAGGAAAAAACATCTTCCTAATGAATTAACAATTCTCCATTCTCAACTGAGCAATAAAGAATACATGAATAAGATGATTCAAAGCAAAGGGAGCTAAAATTAAACCATAAAAAGCATAATCTTAAGAATCAAATGCTGGGCCAGGGATTTAGCTCAGTGGTTTCGCCACCTGCTACGCAAGCGCAAGGACCCAAGTTCGATCCCTGGTACCAAAAAAAAAAAAGAATCAAATGCTAATTTCCTAAGCCAAGATTTCTAAACATTAGCTAGAGAACTGGGAGAAGACATAAATTAGAGAACTAGGGGAAGACATAAATTAGCAAAACACAGATTAATATCAAGAAATAGTGAAGTAGCTGTACCTGATTTGTCCTGTAGTTCATCTAGTCTCTCCCCTCTTTCAATTACCTTTGTAATATTTTCTTGCATGACATCAATAACTTCATCCACCTGATTCTGAACACTAGTTTAAAAAAAAGATAAAAATTCTTCTCTTAAAATACTTAGAATTTTTGAAACTTTTATTAGACACGATTGAGAACATCAAATACTCAGAGAATTACAGTTTATTTTTAAACTATAAAATGTAAATAAGGAATGTTCTTCCAGTTGTGGGCTTGAGTGCTCAGGTAATTAAAGACAACATGAGTCAGGTGTGGTAGTGCATGCTTGTAATCCCAGCTACTTGGGAGGCTGAGGTAGGAAGGATTCAAAATTAGAGGCCAGTCTGGGCAATTTAACAAAACTCTATCTCAATGGGGGTGTTGCTCAGTGGTAGAGCACTTGCCTAGCATGTCTGAGGCCCTGGGTTCAATCACCAGTATTACAATAAATAAATACACTATTATATAATTTAACATTTAACTGAGATATAGTTTTAGTCTTCTAATAATGTAACAAATAAGCAATTTAAATGTACTGTCAGAATGCTTAGTAACTGCAGAATTTAGTCAAACAGCTTCAGTCTAAATGTTTCATTTTCTTGTCAACAGGCTGCTGAAGCAGCATGCACAGCCATAACCTACCTATGCTACATATTTCACACACCAGGGCTAACAAAAGTGTTTGCCTGGGTAGGTTAGAGGCTTACGGAAAATATCTACTTTCCAAAATGGAAATGTAAGGCACACCCTCAGAGACACCTATGCTCAATAGATAGAACTCTTCACTGTTCATCAGTTTTTTCCTAACCATGAACAGTTTAAGACAACTGGGATCACTCAGGAATGTTTTGAAGCGCTCACCAGAAAGCAAAAATGAAAAATATTTTGTGATCCTTTAAAATGAAAATATGTTTTCCTCCTTTATATTAGGTGGTAGGGGCCTATTCTGAATCAAAATTCAGATTGTTCAATAAAAACTTAACCAAAGTTAAAAATTAATTAATTGGTCAACTATCTACTGTCATTCACAAGTTATCTCCAGAGATATGCTTAATTATTTTAAGTGTCTAGTGTCTGATGCTATAATCAGAAGAAAAAAAGATTACTTTATGAAATAAGTCATAGCAATGAAAGATTTAAAAGGAGAAATAGAATGAACTCATGGTTCTTCTGGCTCAAAAATATTTAAAGTTCTGTTAGCATCTGAATAAACATTAAATATGCACGTATATTTAAATAAATAAGGATATACAATTGTATTTTCTTTGGGGAAGGAAGTATATCCGTTATCATTAGGGGAACTTAAAATATTCACACATTTCTTCTCTTCTACCTCATATTATCCCCCAAACTAACCCAGAGAGTTAAGGTTCAGGAACAGTCACATGTAATTTTAAAAAAGAGTTCTATTCTTTTCCTATCACTGAGCTATTTCTTCAAAGTTTGTTTTAAAACCAGAACGAGATACATTTAGACATTGGTGGATTCAGAAGTGCCGTCACATTCAAGTAGCAACTGCTATGCATGGTGATAATCACTTCCCTCTGGGGTTCAAGGCATTATGTGTACCCATTGATTATCCACACAGAACCTTCAGGATTAATCACAGCTTCCAGTGTCCTGTGCTTTCCATACATCATTCCACTGAAAAATGTAAGACTGACGCTCTTAGATCATTCTACTGAAAAAAATGTAAGACCAAGCAGGGACATGCAAAATTCTCTTCTGCTCGAACAAATCTTATGAACTTGGGAATCTCTTAAGATATTTTGTTGCATATCCTAATTCTCTAAGCAGAGAGCTAGAAGTGTTTATTCTACATACATAAATATTTATGCAACTAATCAATTTATTCAGCAAATAATTAATGAGTACCTACCATGTACTGTTTTAGGTACTGAGAAAACAAACAACAAAACAAGCAATAATTCCGTATCTTATGGAACTTTTATTCAAATATACAATGAAGGCTTTGCGTTAACTTTAGAGCTTTGAAAGAGCCTGTTTGACCACATTATAGTGTTTTATTTTCAGCATTTAACACCAAGGTAAAGTACTTAAATAAATGCTTATTTTCTGCATCTCCACACTAGAAGTTAAACTCAGTGAATACAGGGACCTTGGCTATTTTGTCCACTTTTATATCCACTGCTTACAATGGTGCTTAAGGCAGAGTAGATATTCAATAAATACTTACTGAATAAGTGAACAAGTTCAGTGTAAATCCTACAAAACAAAACCAGCTACTTAAGAGAGATAAAGCAGTGATTACAGACTCTATTTAACTATACAAATAGAAACAAAACTACTGTTTATCAAAGATGAATCTTGAAATTCCCAGTTACTTTTCATCTTATACAAGTGATGATAATTCATAGCCTAAAGTAAGGCAGTATGGCAGGATAGGAATGGACAAAATGTACTAAAGCCTACACATGATCAAATTATAGTTATTATGGGTATTACTATATCTATACTACACACAGTTTTAAAATAAAACCAAAAAGCTGAAGAAATAGGTATGGTCCCAGAATCTCTGTAAGAAAAAAAGACTCTAAGGACCCAGGCCAATTAATTGGAACAGAACCCATACAATCCTAGATTAATTCTTTCTAGATTATCAGGAACCTACAGGTATTACTGCAACAACAGGCTACACATGTAATAAGTCCCTATTGCTAATGGGAACCCTCCCATATTTTATTTACTAAGTGATCAAGTAATCTTTATTTTCTTTTTCACAAGTTACTATCCATTCGCATTACACTCAATCCAACTACTGTGTAACCTTATTCAATAACAAAAAAACCTCATCATTGTGTTTTTGTATTTCAAGACGTTTCTGTACCCAGAATGTTTGTACAAGAAAATAAAAGATCTTATTTACTTTAATTTGAAGGATTTTTATGAAAGAAGAGATTTTTTTTCCCATGATCTTTCACATTTTCATAGTAGTTACAATCCTCTAATTTCTAGTTGTATTTTACATTGGTCTTATTTCCATTATTACATTGTAAATGCTGTGAAAGCAGACACTGTCCAGTCTATTTTTTTGTTTCCCAGTGAAATATGCCTGATACAAAATAAGTATTCAACAAATATTTTCTAATCTAAATTAGATATTTAATCCATTCAAAACATTTAAGAAGTTATGCTTTCATCAAGGATACCAATATGAAGGCTATGAGCCTGATATTTATAAAGATTACAATCCAGTGGGGAAATGAGCATACTAGCATGTGTCAATTGCTATAATGGGAAGAAGCTCATGGTGCCAGTCATGTAGCCTAGATGACTTCAGCTTGGATCAGAGATGGAATCAAGATTTTGGTGTTGAGTCTTGAGGGGTAAAGAGGGAACTGGGCAGGGTAAAGGAGGTAGTGGATAGTGGGAAAGTTCTAGACCACTGGTGGTTAATCTATGGCATGTATGTTACTGAATTTTTCTTTTAAGACAAAAGATATTAATGTAGATTTGTTTTTTCTAAAGTAAAACCACAGTATTCAGGTTTAACTGTAGTGTTGGCATTCTGTAATAAGTGGGCTTTGAGTTGCAATCTGGGACTTGGTCTCTAAAAGGTTCTCCATCCCTGTTCTAAACTAAGGGATATATATATATGGGGGGGCGGATTTCAAGAACTAAGTGATTAACTGAATGTTGGTAAGGAACTGGGGACAGAAATGGATATAAGACTCAAATTTATGATCTGAGCAGTTGAGTGGTAGCACACAGATAATGACAATTAACTAAAACAGAAAATTAACAACTCAAAGGAAGAGCGAGTTTTGGAAGGAAGAGTAGAAATTTATATAATGGCCTTTGGGTCAGTAGAAGATGATACAGATAGGACATAACTAGGAAAAGGTAAAGACCCACAGAGAGGAATACTCTTATAGTCTGACACCTGTGCTCCTAAACTGTCACCATTCTGGTCATCAACAGGGAAGCTGTATGGTGGAGTACAGAGATCTTGGGTTCTATGTTCAGACAGAACTGGGTCTGCAATCCAGTTTCTCACTTTGTTTGTGGTTATGGAAGTCATTTGTATTTTCTCAGCTTTAAAACACAAATGATAATCTCTGTTTCACTTGTGAGAATTAAATATGATCATGTTTTTCAAACATTTAGTACAACATCTAATGCTTTCCACACACTTGATAAATGTCAGTGCTCTTTAAAAAAAAAGAGCTTCATGTTCTGCAGCATACACATACTCATCACCCCCTGCCCTTTTTTTGGTACTGGGGATGAAACTCAGAACCTTTTGCTTGTGAGGCAGGAGGCAGAACCACTGAGCTAAATCCCTGGCCCACTCATACCTTATTTTATAAAGAAAATATTTATTTTCATAGTTAACATCTCCATCTTGTGGCCTTTTAAGGGACTGTTGACAAAAGACTTTTTATAGTTATATTATATTTTTGCAACTCATACATATTGCTGTTATACCATGGAACATTCTCTAGGGGTTTATAAAAGTGAAGCTGATTTGACCAAAGCTATACTTAGGAGATTTCCTACCTGTGACCGAATATCTACAGTTCATAAGAGTGAGATTTAAAGTACTATTATTTAATTTAAAAACAAAGAAATATTCCAAAGAGAATTATAATTTTTTTTTTTCTTTTTCCCGGTACTGGGGAATGAACTCAAGACCTTGCACTTGCAAGGCAGGTGTAGTACCACTGAGCTAAATCTCCGGCCCGAGAATTATAAATTCTATATGGGCATATGAATGTTTAAAATCATTCCCCAAAATATTCCCGCAAAAGCGATGATGGGTATTTTTGTGATATTAATCTGTCATCAACATTAATAGTGTTTAAATTCAAGTAAAGGAATGTTGTTGATCTATATATAGTTAAATACACTGTATTGAAATGTTACAAATTAAGTGATGGTAACGTATCTTATGACATTGACCAATGTGGGTTTCTGATTAATGACGAGCTTTCCTTGGGCAAGTGGTGTGGCACGCTATCCTCTGTCATCTTGGGCACACTGATGAGTCGTGTCCTGGTTAGAATGGCATTCATGAGGTTGAACCATCAAGGTTTAATCTGTGCATTTGATCACTAAGGTTTTTTTTTCGGTACTGGGGATCGAACTCAGGACCTTGTGCTTGTGAGGCAGGCATGGCGCCACTAAGCTAAATCCCTGGCCCCTGATCACTAATTTCCAACTAAATCTGGCCAGCTCTCAGCTCTAGAGTTAAGAACCATTATATTTATTCAATAATTATTTGTTTAAGTTCTGTAATTACCAAAGTTATTGTGGAAGTTTACATATCTGTATGTGTTGTGATACATAGACACATACTCTGTAATGACTACTTAGTCCAACTGGCAATGGTTTTAGGGTTCAGCTAGAAAAATCATACTCGAAAGACCTAATAGGTCATACTCAACAACAGGCTCACTCTGCAGAAGGGTATCAGACAGGAAACAAAGCATACTGGCAGGCCAAAAACCAGATGTGTCATCAGTGGATTCCCCCTCTTCAGTGACAGCCTGGGCATAAGAGAATAAGACCATGTAGGTGGATACAGAAGCCAGTGGCTCAGTGTAGGGCAACGGCTCAGCTATTACACATTAGCGCCCTTGCAGACATCCACATATGTCATGTATCTTGTGAATGCTCTAGAACGCTGATAAAGAGTGGGCCTGTTGAGGCCACCTCCTACTGACTACCATGTCAACCTAGGAAACTATCACAAGACTGTTTATCACCTCTCAGGTACTGATAAGGTATGAACTTCCCATAGGCTATTTCCGCAGATTGTGAAAATCACTTAACTACAGTCTAGAAATAGCTCCTTTACCATAGGGCATCCTACAACTGGTCCTGTAGCCACTGGTCTCTTCTGTTTTGGAATCATCATTCTTGGTGCATGGGACAACGGACCCTGGGAGCTGGCACTTTTGGCTACCCTTTTACTATATAAGTAATAAACTATGTGACTCTAAAAGCAGATTGTATCTTTATTGGTGACATCAAAGACTTAAAGCAGTGGACATTCTGTCCATAATCACCTGAACGTAGTCATAAGCCTCAAGTGAGACTGTACACTTTGAGACATCTTGATTGCAGGCTTGTTGAACCCTAAGTAGAGGGCTCACATAAGCAGTGCTTGAACTTCTGACCCATGGAAACTGAGATGATAAATGTGCAGTGCTTTTAGATGTCAAGTTTATAACTTGTCATACAGCAACAGAAATAGTAGCGCCTAGAATAGTATTCTCGTCAATTTGTTGGTACAGGTTAAGCATTCCTAATCTGGAAATCTGAAATGCTTCAAAATCTGAAACTTTCTGAGCGCTGACATAGCACCACAAGTGGAAAATTCCACACCTGACCTCCTATGACAGGATGTGGTTAAAATGTAGTTACACTAAAAATACTGTATAACATTACCTCAGGATATGTATATGAGAAGCATACATTAATTTCATGTTTAGATTTGGGTCCTCTCCCTGAGATTTCTCACTATGTAAATATTCCAAAATCCAAAAGAACCTAACATCCAAAACACTTCTGACCCCATACATTTCAGATAAGGAATATTCAACTTGCACCCTACTTCCCTATCTTGAAATCCTTTAGGTTAGGGTTAGGGTAAAATGGATACATTTCTTCACACCAACATTACCTCATTAAAACGAAAGCTGAAAGATCTGAGGAATAATTAAGGACTCTATACAGCACCTTCCATCTATACCAAGGATTAGGGCAGTGACTGCAATCTTTCCTTAGATCCTGAGTCTGAGTCATTTAGTTTATCTTCCATAGTCTGTCATACTTTATAGGCTGGTCAGTTTTAGGGCCTTCCCTCAGATGATTCACTGTTCTGTCCATTCCTTCTCTCTTCCTGTCAGGACCCATACTTTTTCAACATTAGACACATTCACTATAGCATATTCATTTATCATCAAGTAATACATACAACAAAAGATTTAAACTGAAATTCAATTGGTCATAAAACTAAGATCATCAACATATGGGTTAGGAAGCTGGGCTTGGTGATGCACACCTGTAATCCCCAGCACTCAGGAGCCTGAGGCAGGAGGATCACTGCAAGTCTGAGACCAGCCTGGGCTACATAGTGAGTTCAGGGCCAGCCTGACTACAAAGGGAGACCCTGCCTCAACCCTCCCCCAAAAAAGGATTAGGCTAAAAGATAAGGAAGTAGATAAAAGATGCTATAAACAAATAAATGTATTCTATTTTATGATTCTGAAAATGAGAATCAAGCTATAGATTAGAAACCAAAACATATCTTCAGGTTATGCTAAATAAATGGATTTGAAATAAAGTAATCAAGAAAAACAAACAGCCCTGCATTTCCTGAGCTATAAAATTTAGCTTTATGAAAGTAAAAATAATTAGGCTTTTATAACTCAAAAGTTATATTTAGTTTATATTAGGAGTTAGCAATCTTTTCTGCAAAGGACCAGACAGCAGCTATTTCAGACGTTGTGCCCTAAGAGCTCTGTCACAACTCTGTCACAACTACTTAACTATGCCATCGTTCCTCAAAAGCTGCTCCAGAGAATATGACAACAAGTGGGTATGGCTATTCTCCAGTACAACCATTTAAAAACAGATCGCCAGATTTGGGTCACAGGCTGCAGTTTCCCAAGCTTTGGTTCACATAGAAACAAGACAATCATTTAAGCAGACAAATGTCTCAGGAACTTACTGCTTAATTTTATCATTTCTAGGTCCAAATCTTGGTCCAGATGGTCCCCTTCTGAAAATAAAATGTCCATTTTATATTAGTAATGATAGCATCAGACAAAAACAAACACCACACAGCCATATACACAATCAACCTGAATTCTAAACATTAGGCAGGCATTTACCGTAAGGAGCACATGTCACTGGTTCTGGTGGAAATGAGTGACATATGACACAGTATCATGTCTTTCCTTCACTGGCACTTACTGTAAGCCACAAGTAACCTAAGTTTTCTGAATGTTAAAACTTTCTGAGTTTCTGAGTTTCCTTAGTCATTTAATATTTTTTTCTAATCATTAAACCCTGAAATACCAAACAAAACTACTGATAAATATGAATATTTTTATGATCAATTCTAGAACTAAAAGTGCAATTCTTCTTGAATTTAGGTTATGATGAAATGCTGACTGAGAGGTGGACAGAGAAAAAAATTATTAAAAGGCTAAAAATTTGTAAGTATGTTTTTGATTACTTATCATAAACCTATAAGCATAGCAAGGGGGACATGCACGAGTTTAAGAAAATATTAACATTTCTAAAATTATTATTTATTATAGTCAACTGTATATCCCCTTAATATACTTCAACATTGTCAAAATGGAAACTTGGATATTTTAAGTAATTATCCTCTTTCTGAAGACAGAAAACAAGGCATGAACTACAAAATTCAAGAGAAACTAGATTCTTGAGTTTCTATGGCGATTTCTAAAGGAGATTAAAAAAACAGTTATTGGTAAGAAGAAAACATTTTTGGAGAATAAAATCAAACTGCTTATTACAATGTACTTAACATACTTTATAAATATGAAAATGTCATCTTGCTTTAACTTCTGCTTTTTCCTTAAAGTCTTTATAGCTTCATCTAAGCCTAGGAATACTGGACGAGTATTCCACTCCACAATGATAGGTTAAACACTGACTTCATAGACAGAACTAATATTCTGAGCCAGAGGAACTACAAATGGGTAAAATGAAAAACATTAAAAACCAGTTATTAAGTGAGGAAACTACAAAGTGGTACAGATATCTGAAAATTATTAGGTTTAAATTATTCTCATGGTAGCTTTTTTTTTTAAGGAGCTACATTTGTTTCATCTATTAAGTAACACAAGACTTTAAAGTAGTTACAAGAAAAAAGTTGGTTTTCTGAAAGTTAAAAATCAAAGAACTTCAATCCAGACTGTTCAGGGGAAAAAAAGAGACACAAATTATATCTAGGAACAAGGTGGGGATGCTACTCTAGAAATGTACCATGGTGCTGTAAGATTTACGAAGGGAAGCCAGGTGAAGGTAAACGGCAACTCTCTCTACTATCTGTGTAACTCTTCCATAAGTCTATAATTATTTTAAAATCAAAAGTAAAAACTCCCACAAAGAAAATTCTAGGACTAGATGGTTTCAGTAAGTAACCAAACATTTAATGAAGAAACAGTATCAATTCTATGCAGACTCTTCTGGAAACCTGAAGACAGAACAAGTCATTATATCAAGCCAACAGTAATCTATGAAAACCAAAGACACAGCAAGAAAAGACAGTAACTATCAACCAACTAATCCTGCTCATGAACACAGATGCAAAAGTTCTTCATAAAATTTTAACAGATTGATTCCAACAATGGTTTAAAAGGTTAATACATGAGGACCAAGCAGAGTTAATCCCAGGAATGCAAAACTGGTTTAAAATTTCAGAATCAGTCAAAAGAATTCATGACATTATGAAAAAAAAAGCTAAGCCATGTGATCATATCAACAGATGTAGATGAAATTCTGACAAAATTCAACATCAATTAATGATAAAACTCTTAACAAGGTAGGGCTAGAAGAGGACTTCCTCAATCTAATAAAAGGCATCTAACCACCGTGTGGCACCACCCCCAGCCCCTGCAGTAAGAGCAAACTTTGTGGTGAAAGAAGGAATGCTTTACCCTACAGGAGATCAAACACAAAACACGGACATTCTTGCTCACCATTTCTATTCAGAACTGTTCCAAACCTTCTAGCCAGAGCAAAAAGGTAAGATAAATAAAAGGCATACATATAAATAAGAAGTAAAAGTGTCTTTTATTTGCAGACAACATAATTGTGTATGTAAAAAATCCAATGGGATTTATAAAAATACTACTAAAATTAATAAGTGCACTTAGCAAAGCTGTAAGATACAAGCAATGAATAATAAGAAATAAAGTTTTTAAATGTCATAGCATTAGAAAGTATGAGATACTTAGGATAAATTTGGTTAAAAAAGTATACAAGATCTGGACATTAAAAACTACAAGATATTGCTAAGAGAAATTAAGGGCTGTAATAAATACAGATATGATTTTCATGCATTAGAGAAGCCAAAATTATTAAGATATTAATTCTCCACAAATTGGTCTATAGATTTAATGCAACCTCAACCAAAATCCCAGCAGGATTTTTTTGTAGAAAACAGACAAGATGATACTAAAATTTGTATTAAAATTCTTACAACCCCTAATAAGCCAAAAGAACCTTGAAATATAAACTTAAATATAAACTATAATATAAACTTATAAAGGACATATAGTACTCTACCTCGCAAATTATTGAAGACATAATAGTCAAATTGTGTTACTGATTTATCAATATATAGGTCAGCGTAAATGAGCAAAGTCTAGAAATAGAGCCACACATATGGTCAATTAATTTTTGTTGTGGTAAACATAAAACAAAATTAGCTATTTTAATCATTTAGGTATAAAGTTCTATGGCATTAAGCACATCCACATGGTCTGCAACCATCACCAGCATCCATCTCTAGAAAATTTTCATCTTTTCAAATTAATTAAACATCAAACTCTCCACTCTACCTTTCTCAAAGCCTTGGCAACCACCATTCTACTTTGTGTTTCTATGAATCTGGCTACTTCAGTACCTCTCCTAAGTGTAATCATGTAATACTTTTCCCTTTGTGACTGACTTCTATCACTCAACCTAATGTCTTCAGAGTTCATTCATATTGTTGTATTTATTAGAATGTGTTTCTTTTTAAAAGCTGAACAATATCCCTTTTATGTACACTCCACATTGATGGACATGGGTTGTTTTACCTTTTGAATACTGTGAATACTGCTACTGAATGTCAAGTGGTTTTTAAAAATTTTATTAACTTTATTTGGTTTGTCTCCTTTTCAATACACAGAACACAGTGTGGAAGGTGTATTTTAAACACTGTGCCAATTTGGTTGTTAGGCCCTTTGGAAGACATGACATTACTTTGGAGTGAACCACTGTTGGCCAGAAAGAGTAATTCGCTCAACAGGGTATCAAACTCAAATTCAGGTCATCACTTATTTACCCAAGCCATCTGGCCTTTCTCTCAATGCTGATTTCCTTTTTGATAGGTGGATACTGCCCTACTCTAGGGCTTCTTCTCACTGTACATGGCAATGTAGGCAATTAGCTTTTGAATTTTATGGAAATCTTGTCACCTGTAAAACATTATCTCCCATATCATCTTGACATTCCTGTCAAAAATGATAGCATTTATACATTCTTTTAAGATCATGATATGCAGTATATTTACCACTCATTCTTTAATAAGTTTTATTATGAAAAATTATTTTTCCATAGACTGTTGATATTTTCTTTTTTTTTTACTGGGGATTGAACTCGGGACTTTGCGCTTGCGAGGCAGGCGCCGGAAACACTGAGCTAAATCCCCAGCCCAAAGTATACTTATTTCAGTGACA